CATTTTCCTTTAGAGGCTGCTTGAAATTTCATCTTAACCAAATTTGAGTTGTGGTTTACAGAATCTATACCCATCAGAATTAGTTTCCTTTAAAAAGTTTATCTTCAATGTGAATGTAATTAATACCACACTCAATTACACACATCAAGTGGCAAATTTAACATTATGTATACTTGACCACACTTTTTAAAGTTTTTTTTCATCAGTACATGTTTGTGTCCACGAAGTTTACATTCACCTTAGGGAGTAAGTACCTACCTGTAACAGACAATTTCAAAAGGAAACAATTTTACTTTGCTCCTAGCATTGGCCAAAGATCTGCAGTCACTGCCCTCTCGCCCACCCAAGTGGCCACACCTCAGTTGGCCATGGGTAGGTAATGACAGAGCTTCTTCACAGAAATGCAGAACAGACAGACTCCATCTAGAGTCTGTAAAGGAGATTCTAGAATTGAGAAATAAGGTTTAGTTTCAGTTCCAACAAGCAAACACCAGCAGGCAGAGGAAGGGGAGAGAGGTAAAGCATCAGCAAGCCCCTGCTTGGCCTCCCAAGCCACCTCCTCGACCTCTGCTCCCTTCTGCCCTTCTTGACAGCAGCGCTTCCTCATCCACCGTTGCCTGGACACACGCACATGTGCCTTCCATGTCTCATGCCCTAGGCAGGTGGGTGGGGCACACAAACAAATGCAAAACAGCCGAGAGAGACAAGTGTAAATAAACGCAAAACCAGGTAACAGGTGAATGCAGCCACACAAAGGCAGGAAGAAGCTGGTGCACCACGTTAAATGACCGACTGCAGTTCCGGACTTCCCCAGGCCAGATCACGATAAATCCTGTGTCTGCAGCCTTTGCTCCCTTCAAGCACAGCAGACTCGGTGCATTGGTCTGCACGACATCTGCAGGGCAGAGGAAAATTTCGGGAGAAGGATGACTCACAGCGAAGTTTATAACTTCCTACAGAAACTTTCCAGTGAGCAAATCAGTGGACAGGAGAAAGTAGACAGAAAAAATAGATGAAACTATGAATGAGGCAGTAAAAACACGTATGACTAAAATACTGTGCAGCTGGTGAGGGCAGGCCACAAACGTGGCTGAGCGTTCCAGAAGGCAAGGAAGAAAAGGACACGTATGACCAGTCCCATGAGTCACGGCGTCCACATGATAATTATTCATGGAACGGAAACCTGAGAAAAACTCCTTCACGTGCTCTCTAACACTACTCATGCACTTGCTTTGGACATGGTTTTTAATATTACCCATCATTTTGTGCTCTTGATTAATGCATGTGTTCTAAATAACATAATGTATCAACATTCTTTCCCTAAAAGCAAATAAAATCATTATTTGTGCATGATGCACTGAAGACCGTGGGTATCTTGCATGCTGGAGATCACGGTCACTGTTTGAAGGCCTTAGCCTGAAGCCTGCTGGGATGTTTCCTTAGACTGAGAATCAATAGCTGAGGCTTTTTCTGCCAGCATCATACAAAATGCATTAACACTATAAAAAATATCCAGGTAACAGCAGATGACAGGTTTGATACAGTATGTTTCCCTGGATTATTTCCAGATAGTTGAAAATAAAAATAATGGTAGTAATGTTTACTATCTCAGTCCTTGGTCAGTAGCAGAAACAGCCACACAATCTATGAAGCGCCCTTACATTCCAACTCTTATTAAACTATCACTTCCAATTCTCAAAATAACAATGTTACCATTAATTAGCCCTTACAGATGATTGAAAATGAAGATCATGAAGTAGCAAATTTTTAAAGTTTATATGCTGCAATCAATTTATAAACATATACAAAAACTGAGATTACATATAACCGACCACAGCATGTCCTAAAATCAAGACTGAACAATTACCTATTTTCCCAGATTTCCTTTATCTCCTTTTTTCTTTTTTCCTTTGATGAAGTATATTAAAGCAAACCCCATTCCTATAACCACCACATTCATATGTATTTCTTTTAGAATAGTAACAGACACTTATATAATCACAAAACTAAATCAAACCTAAAAATGCCAAAAATTTCTTGGAATCCCATCAGTCATAACCAAATGCCCTCAATCTTTCCAGAAAATCTTTTCATAATTAGTTTGTTCAAGTTCAGATCCAAAAAAGATCCATACAAACATTTCATGATGTGCCTTAAGTTCCTTTCTCTTCTTTTTCCCCTATTCCTGTTGAACCAAATACCTTTTAAATGGAGATATAATCCATACTCCATAAAATTCACACTTTAAAAGTGCATGACTTTATATATTCACAAGGCTATGCAAACACCCTAATGTAATTACAGAATCTTGCCACCATACCAAAAAGGAAAGTCCACACCCATTAGCAGTTGCTTCTTATCCCAGCTCTCAGTCCCTGGCGACTACTAATCTACTTTCTCTCTGCATAGGTCTCCCTTCCTATTCCGACATTTCCTATAAATGAATTCATAATTGCAAACATTCTGAGCATCCAATACCATAGAACAATTTAGATCAGGTACCAAAGATATATATGACATGATTCATGTATGTAACAGATAAAATAGCCATCGTATCAATAAACATGAATGCATAATGATGCATTGGGTGGACATTACAAATACTTTCAGCTAATGGTTTTCACCTTTCTCCTCACACACATAGAGCATATGATATCATGTGTGTGGTACCTCCATGGATTGCTTATATGCTGCAAAATGTTTGCTTTTCTGCTGGCCATGATTTTCACAGATGAATGCAGTAGTAATGTGGGCAAGTAAACCCGATGCCCAAGCTGTAAGTCTGCTTGCTCTCCCTCCCAGGAAGCATGCCAGAGAATAAGAGAAAGAACAGAGCCTCTATTTTTAATTATTTTTAGTATGTCACTGGCACCTTATAGGAGGGCAGCGGATTGCAGGGGTCAATAGCACAGGTTCCAGAACTCATACCTCTCCAGGGTCAAGACCACCAATGCCCCCTGACCATTTAACAGCTAAGGGACCTTTAGCAAAAAAATAAAATCTCGAAGTCTCAGTTTTCCTTATGTCAAGTGAAGACACTAGTAAGTGTGCTTTGAAGACTAAACACCAAGTCCTTAAGACAATCTGCTTGCTAAATGCTGGTTACTGGCAATAATAATTGCTAAACTATTACTAACAAAGCAGCCACAGGCTTAAGGCCGGGCAGAACATTCCAGTGCAGAGCTTCTAGCCAGTGGGGAGAGGACTGCCAGGGGAGAACAACTGAAGCAGCACATTCCCATGTCCCAGCAGAGTGACATTTAGGGGCAATAACACCTTGAACACTGAGGGTCTGAAAACCACAAACTGTTCAAGACCTGATTTTCCCTCCCTCAGCCTCAGGATCCCTGGCCCCACCATCAACGCTACCAAGATGTTCCTGGTCTAAGCAAAACATGAGGCTGCCTCAGAAGCCTTCCGTCATCAGCAGTCTTCTCTTTCTGTCATATTGATGCAAAAAATTAGTAATACAATAAAGCCAGAAGAAACAGGAACTCTGCCAGCCTAAGGAAGGACGGTCAAGTCTGCCTGGCACTAATAAACGAGCACCAGGAAGCAGCCTCCCTTTGCCTCTGTGTTCTTCTCTCAGAACCTGTTACACCTGAGACTTTTTCACCCTGCTTATACCACCCTCACTTGCGTGGTTTCCTTTCCTTGTATTAATTGTCCCTCCTATCTCTTTTTGCTGTCATTACAAAATCATTTTATTTCCAATTATAGGGCTAGAGAACACTCAGCTGGGTATGGTGGCATAGTCTGGGAGGCTAAGTCAGGAAGACCACGAGTTTGATTCCCAGCCTGAGCAACTTCATAACTTAGTGAGACCTACCTCAAAAAACAAAAAAGAGCTGGAGGTATAGCTTGGTGTGAAGGCTCTGGATTCAATCCCCAGTACCACACCTCCCAAAAAAAGACCAAAAAAGCCTCAAAGAAGGGGCCAGGGTTCCTTGTGCACCGCTGTCGTGTAACAGTATACGTCCTCCTCAGCTTTATCTCCTCTTGGTGCTCATACACAGCATGGAGAGGATGACTTCACCACGTTCCACTAGTGTGTAATGTTTTGGTTTTTGCTTTTTTTTTTTTTTAAGAACTAAGGTAACACAACTGAAAAAGAAGTGCTTTTGAAGCTTTATGTGAACTTCATACATCTCCCTCCTAGGAAGCAGGGACACTCTACCCATAACCCTGTACTCCCTGATACACGTTGTCCCACAGCAGGAGATACATGTTCTGTTTAGAAAGTGATCCTTCCAAGGAAAACACGAGCCAGTACCTACCTACCCTGCAACAAATTGCCAGAAATTGCTATCAATTATAAGGAAACACCATTTATCATTTAAAGGGGTGAAGTAGAGAAACATTCACCGGCAATGCATCAACCTCAAAGGGATGTGTGGTTGTGTGCATAAACATACATTTTCTGTTTGTTTTAAAACAAACGGGAAAAAAGGAAGTACATACTTCCAAGTATTACCAGTGGACCGCCAAGGTGGAAAATTGGGAGGGTAAAGAGAAAACAGTGAACAATTTCACTTTTCATTTTATATCTCTCTGAAGGATCTGAATTTGTTACAGTAAGTTAATGATAAGAAAAGAACATTTGGAGGGTGGATAAAATCGGAAATACTTTTACCAGCCTAAAGATCATTTCTTGATAAACAATTTATCTTCTTGCATAAACACACATAACAACTTGCATGAGCAAAAAGGCCAATTAAATGGACGGCCTGCTTTATTCAAGCAGCATAAACTGCTATGGAAGGTAAACAGAGAAACTGATCACTGAATTTGGTTTGCCCACTTCAGTAAGTTTACAATAAAAGCGGAGTACGAAGTGTGTAAAATAAATGAAAGAATTAAATGGTGAATAAAAGTCATTTTCTAGCTTTTTCTGTAGATGGTAAGAGACAGGAAGGCAAGGAATCACAAACGTGAAGCAAAACAGAGACGGAGGAGAAACTGGTTCTATCACTCTTGATAAAAGCATCTCCATTTCTCACCTGGTCACAAATCAGTTCCCATTTTTTTTCATTGTCATACTGCCGCAGTAACCTGGCTTTGTCAGGAGGCAGGTTCATAGCATTCTGCGAGGAAAAAAACAAAACAGAGATCCGTCAGTTCCACAGCAGGCTGCACATGGGTAACTCGCAGGCCGAGCAAAGACGATGACTATGATCGCTTCACGACTGCGTTCAATTCCTAGCATCTGATTCACACAAATATTCTGCCGAAGTCATTTAAACATCAAGCTGGTTTAACAGACAAAGGAAAACCCTGAGGTTCTTTCTACAGAGGGACCTCTGAGATGGGCTGTTTCTGAACAATCAGACTTGCATCTCAGCAGAGGTGATGCTTTATCTCCTCATTTCATCAAAGGCTCCCGTGGGAACTGACAAAATGGGCAACGGGGTTGACAGGGTATCACCCTCAATTTCTTCACAAAGCACTGCAGTCCCCAGGAAAAACTGGTGATTAGATGGCATCAGCTTTTACTCATTCTGATAATCAACCCTGAAAAAAGGATGGGATTTTTTTTTAACTGACAATGATGTGACAGGGCAGCCCTGTGACATGCCAGTGTTCAGTCAGGACCTATTAACACCAGCAGCCTTCACTTCAGTTTAGCTGTTAGGGTATGAACCTGACCTTGAGGTGAGAAACAGCCAAGCTGAACTAGATGTCGAGCCAGCAGCACCCAGGCCAGCCTGCTCCGTTAGCACAACACACCTTCAGCACTGTTGGACGTGGGTTCGCCTGGGCATGCTCGTGCACTGTGAGTCTTACGTCCCAAATGACCAACCACACATTTTCAAGACCCTTGGCCAGGATCTGAGTAAGTGTTTTTACAACGGTACAGTAGAGCAGGAGAGCCCCAGAGCCAGTTCAGCTCTCCTCCTGAGAACTTTGTGGAGTCTCCACACTCTAAACGGAGCTAAGTGGTCAGTTAACGCACTGCCTCTGTTACTCATCCTGTCTGTCCCGGCACCAACGCTCTGAATCGTATTCACAAACACACTGACAAACCATGCAATTCTTTGTCTCAGTCAATATGCAAGGCGACAAACGCAAAGCTCTTATGCCTTTAATGCTCAATCCCCTCCCTCTGAGAGGCGTGGCTTGTAAAGAAATAACTGCCCATCTCACAGTAACTGTTTCATGTGATCAAAATGAATTTAACAGAGACAAAGTATTCTGACTTAATTACAGAGAATAAACCTGTGTCAGTTTTGATAGATTTAAGCCAAGCATCCTCCCTTAACTCAATCTAACATCCGGAATGGTACGTCTTAAATATATCTACCATCAATCAATTTGAATCTAAACCTCAGGTTTTTAGAACTAATTACCTTCAGAATATTTAATTTTTTATCCCCAGTTTGCCAACATAATTTGAAAAGTTTTGGGCCCAGAGTTCAATGATACTACTAAGGCTTCACAGATACAGAAATACCTAAAAGAGACAAGTGGTTTCATACACCCAATCCCCATGGAATACGTATTTCAGTAAGCATGGAAGGTATGTATCTGTGTGTACTAGTTCTTACGACTGAACAGTGTTAAAGAACAACAGTGGGAAAAGGCAACGGGAGGACTGATGTTATTTACTGCTGAACAATGGTACCATCTTTGCTTATTTGAATCCCTGAGGGGGACATCTTCTTCCTAAGCTGGTCTTCATCCTCAGGTTAGGGCCCCTGGGTATAAATATGCAGTGAGGAACAACAGTAAGATTATAGGTTAAATGAGGTTTTCTCCCCTGAGCTTTTATTAATCACTTGAGATATGAAAGAAATAAGAAGTAAGAAGAATGCCTGAACTCCCACAAAGTGTGAAGCATTATGCCGGGCACTCTGCACGTGTAATCCTACTGAATCTGCATGTGGGATACATGTAACTTGCAGTTAGAATACAGAGAAACAGACCTGGGAGAACTTGATAAACCTGCTCAAGAATGCAGAGAATGGGCTGGAGAGTTAGCTCAGCAGCATAGTGCCTGCCTGGCAAGCGTGAAGTCATGAGTTCGATTCTCAGAACCTGCACCCCGCCAAAAAAGAATACACAGAATTACAGGAAACATGCAAACTTAGGTTTTTAAATTTTCAAGGACAAAATCTAAAGGTCCCACCAAGCTCTTTCTGCAGGAAAGCAGCAATTACTTACGACCTTCTACAAGTATAGTACTCTACTAAATGTGCTCATGGAAAAAACCCGCAAGCACTGCTATCAGAATTACAAGGCCCTGCCGTTACTGCAAACGATAAGGCAAGATGCTTCTTCCAGACGAATTTTTATTTTGGCCAACACCTTCCATTTATCACATGCTTGTGAAGCACTGCCCTCAAAACAGGCACTATGCAACAGAGAAAACCAGGCAGAGGTGGCCCCGTGGGTCTTACGTTACAGAGGGGAAACATGGGAGACACACTTTTAAAACTTAAGCTGAGGGGCCTGGAATGTAGTTCAGTGGCACAGTGCCTGCCTGGCAAGCACAGGTCCTGAGTTTAATTCTTGGTACCAAAAAAAAAGTTGAGAGAGGCTGTCAGAGGATAGCTGCAGATGAGATGACTAGGAAAGATCTCAGAGCCGGGGATATAGCTCAGCAGCATAAGTGCCTGCCTGGCAAGCACAAGGTCCCGAGTTCGATTCCCGGTACCAAAAAAAGAAAGAAAGAAAGAAAGATCTCGGCAAAGAGCAACACCACGAATGCTAGACAGCAAGACAGAGCCACGTGAAGAGTAGACACAGCGTGCTTGGCAGAGACAAGGGGAAGCAGACTGAGGCAGAAATGAACTTGGCACGTTGGCACAGAATGTGACAGAAAGCCAGCTTGGCCAGACAAGAGCAAGAGTGAAGGATGAAGCTGAAAAGGTGGTGTTTTTCAGGTGCAGGTTAAGGTCAGGAATTTTTATTTTACCTAAAGGACAACGAGAAGCCACTGAAGGCTTTTAAACAGGGAAATAACCTAAGGACATCGCGCTATGTGCGTTGAAGAGAACTGGTCAAAGCAGCAAGTGTCAGATAGAAGCAGAAGTGTCAGGTAAGAGCGCAGAACAGCAGATAAAGTGAAGGATGGGGGCGCAGATGTTTGACCTCCCGTCAAACCAGGAAGAGTGAACAGTAACGCAGACAGTAAGTAAAGCTGGCTGGGCGGGCACCAGGGCTGGGAAGGCTGTCAAAAGCAGCGCCTGGTATCTGGCTCCAGTCTCCAGGTAAACAGTGGTCCGTGTCATGGGGGCAAACACAAACAAGGGTGGTGTGAATCTGGAGGTGGTAAGGAGTAAGATTTCCAAATGTTCTTGGCTACGTCTGAGGCATTATGAGACATCCCAGAGGACACTCAAGCAGATAGGCAGACCCACAATTCTAGGGGTCAGAGGAAAGGTGCCCAATTTCCTGATGGAAAATGCCTTAAGGAGTGTTTTTGAGTCTGAAGACTAGTTACTGCCAGAAGCAGCAGCTTAACATCAATATGTCAAGACTAAACCCACACTCGGTAAGCACTCACCACGCATCTAAAGTAACTCCTTCCACAAGTCAAGCCTCTGGGCCGCTCAGGCATACACTGTACAGCTTATTAATTCTATGGGGACCAAGAGGAAGCAGATCCATTTAAGCTCAGACACTGCACAGAGGCCTGGCTGAAGTTCAGGGATGCTGTCATTAGCTGGTAATAACTGTTCTAAAACTTCGTTAGGAGTGAACTCATTTCTCTTGTGTTGCACAGAGCAGGACTCTGGAGCCCAAGCTAAATGTTTGTGCAGGTAATTCACAAGAGTCCAAGTTATTTTCTGATAAAAGTACTGGCTCTACCTCCAAGTCCTTTGCTGTCTGTGTAAAAACACTGCTCTTCTATTTCACTGAAAAGTAAATCAACTTCCAAGTTTTCCCAACACAGGGCCAAACCTGGCTCGCCTACACTTAGTGATAGCTGTGACACAGGTTCTTTTTTCCTTCTTCTCATTCGTCAAACCACTAAACAGTCACAGGGCCTTGACCATGTGCCAAAATATCTGCACGACGGGCACCCAAGAAACTTTAATCATGAAGTTGCTGCAGGTAAAGACCTGCGAAAGGTCCACTGAGAGACACAGTACTTATGGGGTATTATCTGTTTTCTAAATTGCACAAGTAACAAGCTACCACAAATTAGATCATCTCAGAATATTCTTTCTGTAAGGAATGTCCCTTTCTTTCCACTCTCAATCTGGCAAATGTCAAAAATCAGCTCAGATACCTCTTATCTTTAGAACCCTCCCCCATCAGGTGTGGTGGCACACAACTATAATCCCAGCATTCCAGGAGGCTGAAGCAAGAGGATCCCAAATTTGAGTCCAGGCTTTGCAACTTAGTAAGACTCTGTCTCAAAAAAGGACTTGTAGCCCAGCATATTGTTACACACCTGTAATCCCAGGAGGATGAGGCAGAAGAATTGCTCAGTTTGAGGTTAGCCTGGGCTATACAGTTCAAAGTCAGCCTGAACTACAAAGTGAGACCCTTCCTCTAAAAAACGAAATAGGGGGAGAAGAGGCCTGCAGATGTAGCTCAGCACGAAGGACCTGAATTCAATCACTCAAACAAAACAAAAAACCAATACAAGAACAAGCACAAGCACAAGAACAAGCACAAGCACAAGAATAGCCCTCCAACCACTGTAAGAGACAACCCCTCATCAAGGTCCAGCAACACTGTAAGCATAACTGTATGATAGCACCTAGCACACCATACCCTTATAATCGGGTTACCCACATAAATTCTTCTGGACTGAGTACTTCAAGGAAAATTATTTTGTTCTTGTTAATCACCAATGCTTATCACAGTATGACAAACAACTTTATACACTATAAAGAACTTTTGATTCTTATAAAACACCAATCAATGATGTCTATTACTTATTATCTTCTAGACAAGAATTCATGAGCAAAATTCTTAAATTCTAGCAACTCTTTCCTAAAAGAAAAATTGATTTTATGCACTCTTCTTCTACACATAATAAAGTACAGACTCTGAACTCTGTTTTGTAGCCAGTAAATTCAAATTGGTATCAACTAAAATAATTAACCTGCCAAGTGGTTCTAACATTTAT